GGGTGGAGAGGTGTCCCGAGTGGGGAGGGGTCCCGGGTAGGTGGGGGGGGGTCCCGGGTGGGAGGGGAGGGGTCCCCGCCCCCCGTACTCGGCCTGGCCGCGCAGCTCCTGGGGCCGCAGCTCCCGGGCCAGCAGCTCGGTCAGGCTCTGCAGGTGGCGGCTGAAGAAATCCTCGCTGGGCGGGGGCTCCGGGACCCCCGGGACCCCCGGGACCCCCTCGCCCGCCGCCTCCCGCCGCTCCAGCGCGGCCCCGGGGCGGGCGGCGGCGAGCAGGAGCAGCAGCGCGGCCAGCGGGAGCCTCATGGCTGCGGGGACAGCGTGGGGACAGCGTGGGGACAATGAGGGGACAGCGTGGGGACAATGAGGGGACAGCGTGGGGACACCGCGGGGACAGCGTGGGGACATGTGCCACTCGTGTCCCCGCGGCCGCAGCCCCACGGGGGCTTCCAGCCCATCCTCATCCTGTTCCAGCCCCATAAAAACTTCCAGCCCTAAATCCCAATCCTGATTCTAAATCCCAACCCCAGCCCCAAATCCCAACCCCAGCCCCAAATCCCAACTCCAGCCCCAAATCCCAGCCCCAAATCCCAATCCAAATTCCCAAATCCCAATCCTGATCCTAAATCCTAACCCCCAATCCTAAATCCCAACCCAGCCCCAAATCCAAATCCCAGCCCGAAATCCCAACCCGGATCCCAAATCCCAACCCGAATCCCAAATCCAAATCCCAACCCCAGCCCCAAATCCCAACCCAGCCCCAAATCCCAATCCTGATCCCAAATCCCAATTCCAAATCCCAACCCCAAATCCCAATCCTAAATCCCAACCCCATCCCCAAATCCAAATCCCAGCCCCAAATCCCAACCCGGATCCCAAATCCCAACCCCAAATCCCAATCCTAAATCCCAACCTCAGCCCCAATCCCAAATCCCAGCCCCAATCCCAACCCCAAATCCCAATCCTAAATCCCAACCCCAACCCCCAATCCAAATCCCGACCCCCAATCCCAGCCCCACCCCCGATCCCCGTCCCGGTCCCCCTCACCTGCCCCGGTGCCGCTGCAGTTTTGGGGTCCCCCCTCCCCCGGCCCCGTTTTTATCCCAGTCCCCCCCCCCCCCCCCCCACGGCAAACACGGCGGGGCCGAGGGGCGGCGCGGGGGGGCCGCGTGTCCCCCGTGTCGCCTCCCCCGTGTCCCCTCCCTGTCCCCCGTGTCCCCCCGTGTCCCTCCCTTGTCCCCTCTGTGTCCTCTCTGTGTCCCCCCCCGTGTCCCTCTGTGTCCCCCTCGCTGTCCCCCGTGTCCCCCTCCCGTCCCCTCCATGTCCCCCCCGTGTCCCCAGGGTTGTCGCCCGCGCTGTCCGCGACCCTCGGCCCCCGGCGGGAGGGGACAGGAGGGGACAGGGGGGGTGGCGCTGGGGACACGGGGACAAAGGGCGCGGGTGGCGCTGGCGACAAAAGGTCGGAGTCCCCCCGGTCACCGGGGGATGGGGACACGGGGGGACAGCGGGCACACGGGGGGACACCGAGGGCACACATGGGGACACGGGGGGGACACGACAGGGGACACGCGGGGGGGGTGACATGAAAGGGAAGATGGGCTGGGGGGAGTCCAGGGATGCTAGGGGGACGTGGAGGTGACGGGACACGCGGGGATGTGGGACACGCGCGGGGATTTGGGGACAATGAGCCAAATTGTCCCCAAATGCGGGGCACAGGAGGGTGCCGCGGAACGTCTCCTCTCGGGTGCGGAGGTCCGGAGGGGTCGCATTCCGGCGCGGCCCCGCCCGCCCCTCTCAGCCAATGGGCGGCGCGCGTTTGCCCGTAGCCAAGATGGCGGCGGCGCTCCCCGTGAAGGCGGCCCGGGCGGCGCCGCCCGCGATGGCGGCGGCCGGCGGCGGCCCGTAGGGGCCATGGGCAGCCGAGCCCCGCGGCGGGGCCGGGCCCGCGGCAACCCCGGCAGCTTCGACGGGCTGCACCGGAGCTGCAAAGGTGCGGGGCACCGGGGGCATGGGGGCACCGGGAGCCCCGGGGCTGGGGACACCGGGGTTTGGGGACACTGGGATGGGGACACCGGGGATGGGGACACCGGGGATGGATGGGGACAGCGGGGATGGATGGGGATACCGGGGATGGGGGCACCGGGGATGGATGGGGATACCGGGGATGGGGGCACCGGGGATGGATGGGGATACCGGGGATGGGGGCACCGGGGATGGATGGGGATACCGGGGATGGGGGCACCGGGGATGGATGGGGATACCGGGGATGGGGGCACCGGGGATGGATGGGGATACCGGGGATGGGGGCACCGGGGATGGATGGGGATACCGGGGATGGGGGCACCGGGGATGGATGGGGATACCGGGGATGGGGACAGCGGGGATGGGGATACCGGGAGCACCGGGGCTCGGGACACCGGGGTTTGGGGACACTGGGATGGGGACACCGGGGATGGAGATACCGGGGATGGGGACACCGGGGATGGATGGGGATACCGGGGATGGGGACAGCGGGGATGGGGATACCGGGAGCACCGGGGCTCGGGACACCGGGGATGGGGACACCGGGATGGGGATACCGGGGATGGGGACACCGGGGATGGGGATACCGGGAGCACCGGGGCTCGGGACACCGGGGATGGATGGGGATACCGGGGATGGGGACACCGGCGATGGGGATACCGGGAGCCCCGGGGCTGGGGACACCGGGGTGACGAGGGGACAGTGGGGCTGTGGGGACAGCGGGGGTGGCAGCTGTGTCCCCTGGGCGGGGGTGGAGCGGGGGGGACAGTGCTGTCCCCAAAAAGAGGTGGCGGGTGTCCCCAAGGGGTGACAGGCGTGTCTGGGGGTGACAGCCGTGTCTGGGGGTGACAGACATTCCTGGGGGTGACAGCCGTGTCCCCAGCGGTGACAGCCATTCCTGGGGGTGACAGCCGTGTCTGGGGGTGACAGCCGTGTCCCCAAGGGGGTGACAGCCATTCCTGGGGGTGACAGCCGTGTCCCCAGTGGGTGACAGCCGTGTCTGGGGGTGACAGACATTCCTGGGGGTGACAGCCGTGTCTGGGGGTGACAGCCGTGTCCCCAGTGGGTGACAGCCGTGTCTGGGGGTGACAGCCGTGTCCCCAGCGGTGACAGCCGTGTCCCCCCAGAGGTGTTCCCGCCGCAGATGGAGGGGGTGAAGCTGATCGTCACCAAGACCCTGAGCAGCCACTTCCAGGTGGGGCAGGGGACACTTGGGGACACCCGGGGGGTGGCCCCGGCGCCGTCCCCGTGCCCCGTGACGCCGGTGTCCCCGCAGGTGACACACACGGTGCACCTGAGCGCCCTGGGCCCCTCCGGCTACCGCTTCAACGCCACCTTCCTGGGGGACCGCCAGCTCGGGCCCGCCGAGGTGACACCGCGGGTGGCACTGCGGGTGACACTGCCGGGCGGGGTGGCACCGCGGGTGGCACCGCCGCCAGAGCCTTGCGGGCACCCTGGGGGGGCCCTGTGGGGGACGTTGGTGGCCTCGGGGTGGTCGGTGGCCTTGGGGACATTGGTGGCCTTGGGGTTGTTGGTGGCCCTGGGGACATTTGTGGCTTGGGGTCACCAGCGGCCTTGGGGACATTGGTGGCTTGGGGACATTGGTGGCCTTGC